GATATTTGTAAGGGGTAAAGAGGTAGTAGTTTGGTAAAAGAAATGGGAGAGGTGGCTCAGAGCACTTGCTTTAGCACTCGCTCTTTACCACTCTCCCCTGTATTTTGGCCACATTACCTATGAATTGGAGATGTTAACCGAAACCGGCAATAGCAGGTGAATTGCTAAAAGACAAAATTATTAATTAAGTAATAAAAAATATAAAAACTTATATATTTTTTTTATTTTAATTACACAATAAAACGCCATCTATCTCATCTATTATGCTACTCATATCGTGCCATTCAAACTTATAACTTCTTATTTACAATAAAAGCAAATCACCGCTAGTTGGTTCGTTTACGAAAAAATTACACCTTTTTAAGAAGAAGAAAAAGCAAAAACTTTCAAGTCTTCTGCATTTCTCCCCTCCTCCCTCCCCCGCCATGGACCATGGTTGTCCGCTCTATCATCCGATCGACTTTGGTCTAATTTTCCTCCACCACAATCCAATACTTTTCTCTTTCCTCTTGCAAAAAAACATAACTGAATACTGCCATGAAAGAAGAGAGTACTATATACCTTGCAATTCAAAAAACCCATAGGTACCTAAGATAATATGTGCCTCCACTGCTGCAACAAGCAAGAGGTGAATAGAGGCCCCTGGTTTCCTGAAAGAGATTAAATGCTCATCATATAAATCACTCCACATGCCATGGTGGCTGAAGTATATATGTTTGCCTCCAACAAAGCTAAGCACTCTAACCACTTTCCTGCTCCCTTTTTTTTTTTTTTCCAGATTTTTGTCTGCAAATGTTCACTAGAAATCATTTGAAGTTATGAAAATTTCGCAATAATGCCTTTCTTGTTTCATCTTTTTCCAATAATTGTCACACAAAAGATGTTAAAAATTTCATCCCTCTATAAGTTGTTGAAGAAAAAAGGGAAATAGAGAGAAAGGAAGAGAGAAACAAGAAATAATGAAACAAGATATAAAGATCAAGAAAAAAAGAAAGCAAGGATATGTTAGTCCAATTACCAGTGGGACAAGATTTGAAGATCAAATTCTGTTCACTCATATGATGAAAAGGAATAGCAAAGAGTAAAGTAGAAATTTCAACCAAAAAAATAATAATAAGTAGAGGAAGATTATGGTATACCGGACTAACAGTCTTGCAGAAGTTTTGAAACCGGTTTCAATTTTTAAGTTTAAAGTATAGGGTACGTGGCGAAAGAAAAAGGAGAGTGGCGGAGCGAGGGAAGAAAGGGCAGCTGCTCTTAGCATTTTTTTTGTTTTTTTTTTTTGGTAGAAGCTGCTCTTGGCATTCGTCAAGACGAAAACTAATCTTATAACACAACACATCCAACATCGTTTGGGTGTTCACTTGAGCACTGAGCTGAAATTTTCGGCCCCCAGACTTTTCAATGGAGTTTGGAGATGATGAAAGAGGAATAAGATCTTCGAGCTCTGTTAACGGGTAAGGCCTAGCTGTCTGTCCGTGTTCCCAATTCTTTCAAACTTTCCGGTGCATATTCTTCCCCTGTTTTTCTTTTCTGTTAAATTATGGTTCATGATACAGAAGGAAAAAAAAAAAAGGAAGAAGCAAGTTTAATTATCTAGCATGTTTTTCTCACTCTCTAACATGACATAGAAGGAAACAAAATATTTGTCAATACAACTCTTATATTGTTACTAACATTACTTATATAAGATTTTAATAATTTATCTCTTTAATTAAAATTTATTATATTTTTTAAATAAAAAATATAGTTATTAGCAATTTTATGTAAACAATATATGTAATAATGCTATATAAATTATGTATATAAGAGTTTTATGTGGGTGGATCTCATATTTAACTATAAAGCTCCTAACCATTGTTTTATTTCAGGGCTGTGGATCTTGAAGAGGAAGAAACCTCAGCTTTTAACATTCCTAATCCGCTGGGTTCATATTCTAAAGTGTGGAAAGGAGTATTTCTACTATCAAGTGCGATTGCGTTATGGTTGTGTAATTGCACCAAACCAGAAGTCCTTCTTCAGTCCGCGCTTGCACTCCGAGATGACCTACAAAGCCCCGAGGTTGAACTCGGAATGTAATTGCACCAAACCAGAAGTTCTTCTTCAGTCCGCGCTTACACTCCGAGATGACCTGCAAAGCCCCG